ATTAAAAATCCTAAATTTGTTTAATGTGTTAAATTTTTAATAATTTTATTTGTACTGTATTTTTTATAAAAAATATATCAAAATTTTTAAATTTTCATGATCTTTCAAATGACATCAATATTGTATATATAACGAAAAAATTGAAAATTATGAAGTTTCATCTGCTGAAGATTTGATTTTGAAAAGTCTGCTGGAGATTTTTATGTTCAACATTTTGGTTAAATTGAAGTGCTAAAATTAAGATTGTATGGTGAAAATACATGTTTACATCTTTCAGTTTTTTTTAAAACAGATCTAAATTAACATGAATAAAATTACTCCAAATTTATTTATTTTGACATCAGAATGTTTGACTTTTAAAGTTATAATTATTCACAAAACATATATTTGGCAAAAAAATGACTCATAATTATAAAAGGAAGGATTTAATAAAAAAAACTTTGTTGGATGATAATATTTACGATGCTGGATTGCAGTAAAAACTGAATTGACGGAATGAATACATATAAACTAGTAGAATATTTGATTTATTGACAGAATTGGGTTGCGGTTAGCCTTAGAGTCGATATCAGATTTGGGATTCCGTGCTTGGAGTTCCTATAAAAAAGAGTATGCTTTTTTTTAGATTTTATTATCTCCGTCCTACCAGTATTGTTACATGAGCACAGATGTCCTACCAGGCTGATCTGTTCCGTTTGAGTCTAGTTTGATTTGATCTAGTCTGGTCTGGTCTGCTTTGGTCTGTGAAGGTTTGGTCTCTGTGTAATTTATAAATATGGAAGTCAAGTCTGGTAGGGTCTGACCTATTTAAGTCTGGTCTGATTTGCTCTGGTCTATTTAAGTTTCGTATGGTCTGGTCTGGTCTGGGACTGAAAACAGTCCAAGTAAAAATATTCTAGGACCTAGGTGATGCAGTTATTAAACAAAAGTAATTTTATGTGATTAATATTAAATTTGCTTGGTAAAATAATAATGAAGTAAGAATGATTTTTGTCACATTTAATATAAGACCATCTTAACGGGCCTAAAAAAAATACTCCCTCCGTCCCAAAAACAACTTCCCGGTTGGACTTTCACACACTTTTAAGAAATAAATTTGACTTTACTGTAGAGTGCACTGTTTTGCACTGTTTAAACACTGTTTGGCACTGTTTAAACACTGTTTGGCACTGTTTATCACTTTTTTTATGTAGATAATTTGCCAAATAAGAAAAATATTGAAGTATGAAGTTAATTTTGGGACATCAATTTAAGGAAAGTGGGAAGTTGTTTTCGGGACGGAGGGAGTACTCCGTAATAAACAATAGGGAGTACCGAGTATATGATTTGGGAGTTCAATTATACTCGTAGTAATTAGTGAGATCAGATAAATGTTTGAGTTCTTTATTTACAAAACAAATCCATGCAAGTTGTCGCGCGCGGCCAGACGGGCCAGTTGCGTACTCCGTAAAACTAGCAGTCGACCGGATCATGTGTTTGGATAATGGTAATATAGATACCATCCAAAAGGGAAAAGGGGCCTCTCTCCCCTTGTAAATTGCGCCTGCCCATGCCCATAGATTCATCAAACCCGAATGCGGATTTATGTTCTTTGCAACCATTGTTTCCCGCGCGCGTTTGTCTTTGTCCTCCCTAATCCCTATTTCACTATTTCCCATCCCCCAAAATAAAATATTTTAAAGAGAAAATTTTTAAAATCAAAGTAAACATATTCTCAAATTCTAAAATGAGATTGTTATATTGCTCTTCATCAAATAAAAGTAACTGACCATATATATTACAGGTTTGAAGTCATTATTGTCAAATAATTGTACTCTATAGTATTTAATGCTATTAATGTCAATATTTGTCCATCCTAACAGTAACGACTCCTATTTCGAGAAGAAACACATGATAATCTTATTTGGGAATTTCGAAAGCTGTTTAGTCCTAATTAGGACAATTTCCCTACAAACAACTCAAAGCCGATCTATTACCACAAACCAGAGTATTTAGTATTTACGTATTGGGTATTTGAAATTATCTTATGATGAATATTTTAAATAATAATAATATTTGATGAACTAATAGAGCACATTCATCTTTTCAACAATGATATTTTTTGCCAGTCACAATAAAATTAGCAAATGAATTCACAATCAAGAAGTACTCTATGAGTAAGTTCAATATATAAGTTATTGTTAAGAGGAATTCCCCAAATAGGAATAAATAAAACTTTAATTGCCAAAACGGACTATAACTATAAAATTCCGAAAATATGACTAGCTTTCCAATTCTACCATTGCTTTGTTTTTAATATAATTCATATTTGATTAATGATTAAAACATAAAAGTAATAACATAAATTTATTTATAATAAAAATGTAAAAAACTAAAAAACAAGAAAATAAATATAAAATAAAATAAATAATAATTATAAAATTATTAAAATAAAAATTATAAAGTAAAAAACTTAAAAATTAAATAAGAAAATAAAAAATGTAAAAAATATATGTGAGCCTATGTTGCTGTCTCAACAACCTCCCAGCACCACCAGCTCAGACCACCGGAAAAATGCCAATATGTGTCAGAAATGTCATATAGATGAAAATTTTTGAGAAAATTTTGACATTTTCAAAGAGTCAAAGTGTCATCTTTATAGCATTTTCGAAGAAAAAATGACATTTTTCACCGACAGAGGTGGCATTGCTGGGAAATGGGTAAGACTTTGGGAATGGCCTCCATATTTTTTTTATACTTGTTAATGTGTTTTTATCTATTTTGTATTTACTTTAAAAGTTTTAATTTTTTTTGAAATTTTATTGTTTAAAATTTTTCTTAACATATTTTAGAATACGAAGTATTTTTAAAAATATTTTAGAATTTTCAGTATTTTTACTATTTTTTATAAATTAATTTTTTTATTACAAGTTAAAAATGATTATCTTATTAAGTTATGGTAAGGGTAGAATAGGAAGAAGATAGGGTATACTTTAATTCTATTTTAGAAAGATAACTAACATAATCTTATTTGTACATTTAATGACGGCCACATTTTTATATACATTGAGTAGTTTTTTAAATTTGTTTCTCAAATCAGGATCATTCCATGTAATCTCATTTGGGTTTGCTTTTAATATTTTTTTTTTGAAGTGTGCATGAATTGAACATGTGCACCGCTGGACTGGACTATGTGGCTCATTGGTAACAAACCCTTCTTTACAAATATTTAACATATACAGACTTTAAGAAGTAAATATTTAAGTGTATGAGAGTACGACCGTAACTCGCGCATGTATAATCGTTCCTTTAGAATATGGGTTTAATGCACCAAACCCACCTGTGATTTGGAAATTCGGCGCATTAGCCCCCTGTGATTTAAAAAATGCGTCAAACCCTCCTGTGTTTTAATTAATCATGCACAGAACCCCCTTTATGAATAAATTTCACGATTTGAAAATCACTTTTCCTAATATTTTGATTGAATATGCAAATAAATATGTCAAAATCTCTGAATCATACAAAAATGTTAATCATTTTTCTTTTATTTGACAATTGAATTTGTTCACATAAGGGATTTGGCGCATGATTAATTAAAACACAGGGGGGTTTGACGCATTTTTTAAATCAGAGGGGGCTAATGCGCCGAATTTCCAAATCACAGGGGGGTTTGGTGCATTAAACCCTTTAGAATATATTAGAATTTCACCTGTTTGTTGCACAGAGTATAATTTCACCCGTTTGTTGTACGGAATGCTAACGCTCAAATATAACTTTTGGTAAATAACCTTTAAATTGGGCTCGGATCATTATAGTTACTTTTGATGAAGTTGAACTCAAATAGAGTGACTTTTATACGAATGATTGCAATGCACATAGAGCTAAAGGCGTCACTTCATAAATATTCTATTTACCGAAAAATGTAGCTATTATGTTCCCTAAATGGAGAATCCTCACCCTTTGATTGTATATGATATCGAATGTGAAAATAAAATTGCATTCCATACTCTTCAGATTGCCATAGTACTATTTGGAATAATAACGTTTGACAAACTTGTACATAGTTGGAACTTGGAACCATCACACTTGAAATCACTATATATAATCTCATCATCTCGTACCATCAACATCAAATATTCACTTCTCTAATTTTCTATCATTATACTCCCTCGATCCCACAAAATTGCATTGATTTGGTGCATATGTGAGAAAAATAATTTTAAACACATGTTTATTGTCTACAATGAACATATCTAAAATGAACAATTGGTGCATATCTTAATTTGGTTCATATCATTATATTGTCTAAAATGAAAATGATAAGAACAATTACATGCATGAGTACACGACTAAATAGGGAAATTTGCCAAAATTTCGTGGAACAGAGAGACGTATTCTATGTCCCTCTACACATCAAATATACCTTCCACCATATCTCCCTAAAATTAAACAAACAACCAAAACCTTTTTCATAAAATCCACGGCCACAACAAAACCTATTTTACCTGATCTTTTGAATTACAAACTTTTGTGCACGCTCAAATATGGTGTAATTTAAACTTCTAAAGCAAAAAAAAAAAAAAATATAGCCCGTACTTTGTACTGCCATATAAACATTTCGTTGGTAGCTAGTACTATACAAAGTGGTTAACAATTACATTCTCCGTATAGTAGAACTAATAACATTCTAGAGTATATAATTCACATTTTGCATTAAATGTAATCTCGAAAAAGGGACGCTTGATAAGTTATTACTTTGTTCTAAGGGTCTGTTTTAGCAAGAAATTAACAATTTCTTCTAACAATCAAATAAAGAATCGGAATCGCACAAGAGATATATTTCAACAAATAATAATATAAATGGAAGATTTATATGAACTGTATAAATGACAAAGAAGAAGAAAGTTGAACAAGTTTAGTAGCAAGTGAATAGTCTCGTTAATGCTAATGACCCCCTTTTACAATGGCTAGACTTGTATTTAAATGAGCAATCCCATGCCTATCCATACACCAACTGCCCACCGAAATAGGTGGCCTCACATTTGAACGTGTCAAGTGCTTTCTTTTTCTCCAAGCCTTATTCGTTCTTATCCCTTTAATAGCACTCGGTCCTCCATCCCTTTACTTTGCCGAGCTGGACTGCATCTGTTGCTGGACTCCGTCAGTACTGCTTGGAAGGTGGGCCGCATGTCTTAATTTATTAGCCTGCTGTTGGGCCGTATCATTGGACGGAAATTCTCTGGCCCAACAATTGCCCCCAATTCGGAGGAACAGTTGAAGCCGACCCAGATAACTTTTCCTTCGAATTAATACGTCTTGGGCTTCGTAAAGACTTCTACTTGTACACTCAACCGGTGCCATCATCACCTGCGATTCGAAATCTTCATCCCTGTCAAGAGTCACTCCATCTTCCTCGTTTCTTTCCGCTTCCATGGCTTCTCAAGTGTTCATTCCTCAACACATTTTTGAACCAAGAAGCGCCAAGCAAGCGAAACTTACCGAAGAACAAGTCGAACTCATCCAAACATCCGTCGGCTTTCCTCCCAACGCCGTCATCCGCTTCCCCGCAGCGAACGAGCGCATGGACTGGTTTTGCCCTGGATGGGTCAATTTCCTGTACTGTCCCTTCAAGATTGGGATGAAGTTCCCCTTTTCTCCCTTGTATACTTAGGCCTCTGTTTTTTGGAATTAGATATAGATCGAATAAAAACCTCTCTTCACACCTACACTAGGTAGGGGTGGGGGGTTTTAGGAGATCTAGCTCTTAGTTTTCTTTGATGTACAGTTTTCTTTGGGTGCTAATATATATTTACACTCATCCAAAAAAAAAAAGAGATTTCGGGTTTAGTTCCAATCTGTGACTCGGAAAATAAAACTACACTCTTTTTCCGTCAATGTGTGAAACTCCGCTAATACTGTCCGCTCAGCTTTGAAGGCCCCCTGGGATGGAGTGTCATTTGGTGTCATTTGTTTTTTTGAAATATTAGTGGTGTTAAAATGGGAATTGAAGAGTTTGTAGGCCCCGGCCAGGGCAGTTGAAATGATGATAGTAGAACAAGAATCAAATAATACGAAGTAATTATAAGGTTTTAAATACAGTATGTAGCAATATAGGAAAAACCACCAACATAATCATCCATCGCCGACCGCTCAGATATGATAAAAGAAGAAATATTATTATTATTACTCCGTATAATAAATGGGGATTTTCAATATGTGAACCCCAGCCATAATAATGAATGGAACTTGCATGATTGAGAAGAGGCCAAGACAGACATACATCACATTCCAGTTGGGGAAAAGGACTTAAACAGAGAAAAGAGGCATATATAAGACACAGAAAAGGAAAGATAGGGTCCGTTCATTAAATGGAATTAATGCCGCATGCATGCAGTTATTATTAAAGGCAGGAAAAGAAATCAAAACATGCATAATATAAATTCTTTGAACCAAAGATGGAAACCCCAATGCAAGTTGTTCCTTCTCCCTTGATTGGTTACGTCCTAGACAACGTAACTTCACAACACATGCATGTCAACTATATATTTTATACTACGTATTTAATGAGATACTCCCTTCCCATTATGCTTTGTCAAGTGTATGTCATTTCACTAATTAAGTTTACAAATCAAAATCAAATTGAATGAGTTTTTTGCGGTGGAGAATCAAGTACGTACGGAGTATATTTAATTAGTCTGTCTATTTCTAAATACTTCGTAATTCATACACTATATTTTCTTGTTGTGACTCCATATTTAATTAGTAAGTGAATTTTCAATTATACACTTGCTTTATATCAGGGTTTAATGCACCAAACCCCTCTGTGATTTGGAAATTCGACGCATTAGCCCCATGTGATTTAAAAAATGCGCCAACCCCCCTGTATTTTAATTAATAATGCGCCAAATCCCTTATGTGAACAAATTCAATTGTCAAATAAAAGAAAAATGATTAACATTTTTGTATGATTCAGAGATTTTGACATATTTATTTGCATATTCAATCAAAATATTAGGAAAAGTGATTTTCAAATCGTTAAATTTATTCATAAAGGGGGTTCTGTGCATGATTAATTAAAACACAAGGAGGTTTGACGCATTTTTTAAATCACAGGGGACTAATGCACCGAATTTCCAAATCACAGGGGGGTTTAGTGCATTAAACCCCTTTATATCAAATCAAACGGAGTAAGATGGTACGTAATTGAGTCATTTACAGGGGCGGATCCAGAAATTTAAATTATTGGGGCACAAATTAAATAAAAGTAAGATTTTTTTTATAATTGTAAATTAACTTTTAAAGATGAAAAAAACAATGTTTTTTTATACATCAGAAAAAAACCAATGTTAGCATACTAGAAACAAGGAAAATCATGACCGCGAAGTTGGCAAGGTCCCCTAAACAAGTACTTTCTTCTTATTTCATCTCTTTGATTAGGATGATATTCCTAAAAAATTCTTTTATGTGGGATCCAAAGGAAGATTATCCAAATCGATTTCTCTGAGTAGTAAATGAGTGCTATTTGATACTCCCTCCGTATTGTTTTGTTTGCTACACATTTCTTTTTTGGATATATTCAAAAATTTGCTACACTTTCCATTTTTGGCAAGTTTTTCCTTTAAAAATACTCAACTACTCTTACTTTTTCTACCTTTTATCTTCTCTTTCATACTTTTCCACCATTTCTCCTACTTTTTCTACACTATTCATTACACCTACTATTTCACTCTTAAAACATGTGCCCATACCTAATGTAGTAAACAAAAAAATACTGAGGGAGTACATTAACACTTAAACTTTGTCCCACACCCCTGCTTTGATTGGATGTAGGCAATGATTTTCCTTTATAGACTGGCATTATCATCGTTTAATCTATCCAAAGAAATTAAGAAACACTACCTAATTTACACAAAATAATCCATACTAATACTTATATTTAATCTGCTGTAACAAAGTAACAAAGCAAAATCTCACTTCAGGTTTTCACACCTCTACGTTATTAAGATGTTAAGGAATTTGAAATTTAAAACAAAAAGGAATTTGACAATTTTATCGAAATAAATAGCTCATTCTAACCACACAAGATAAAGTAATTAAAATAATAAGTAAATTTTACTCCGTAAGAATTAAAATCTGAAAACCCTAATTAGCAAAATAGCAAATGAAAGAAAATGAAAGAATGAATAAGCAATATGGAACCGGAGATTCAGAGTCTTGTAGACAGAGAAATGAATCAGATGATTAGATGAAGAAGATCAAAGGCCCGTTTGGTAATACTCAAATGAACTGCAGTGTCTGATTATGCTGAAATTTATAAAGTGTTGCCTGAATTGGCCGGATTGGCTAATTCTGTTTATTTATAAGAAAATTATATTTAAAATATATTATATTAGTATAATAAAGAAAAAATTATATGAAAAAATAGCTAAGATGATTATCTCCAGTAATTTAAGCCAATGCAGTCAGAAAAGTAACTTTAAATCTTACATTTTTTTTTATTACACAATTGAGCGCGCAAAATTAAAAGTTATGTTTTTAACGAAAAAAATTGCTAATAAACCTAATCAGCTGACAAACACAAAAGAGGCTCTAAATCGTGTTCAAAAATCAAAAGTCATGAAGCGTGTGGGCGGCAAACGGAAATAGAGTATTGACTAAAGACTATTAGACTAAAGACTATTAGGAATTGTCTATGAATTAAAATAAAAAATAAGATTAAAAATTAAAATTGAATGGATTATATGGACTGTGGGCCATATAGCATTATAACTCATATACGATAGTATACAATATGCAGTATAACTTCATGGAAAATGCTAGAGGTACACAAGTTGTACACAACTTGTACACACAATGTCGGTCACAGAAAATTGGTACGGAATTGCCTGTGAACACATACAAGAGTTGTCTGTGTACACAGACAAATTTTGTCTGTTTCCACAGACATTTACTTTTTTGTAAAAAGTACTTGTCAGTGTCAGGCGGCTCTCAGTGTACTTTTTACAAAAAAGTAAATGTCTGTGGAAACAGACAAAATTTGTCTGTGTACACAAACAACTCTTGTCTGTGGTCACAGGCAACTCCGTACCAATTGTCTGTGACCGACATTGTGTGTACAAGTTGTGTACAACTTGTATAGCCCTAGCATTTTCCATAACTTCATTGCGGAGTACTGGAGTGTTGGATTTATCCCGCCGTAACTGAGTGGCTAACATATTAATGGGGTCCCTTATTATTTTCATTGGGGACACTCTTCATTTGTAATACATAGATAGATACTTATTAATAGCATTAAAAATTGGGAGTTCATTGAGGGCATGTGTCCCCAATAATATTATGGTGCATCCGCCCTTGGGACTCATTTACTATTGACAAATAGTAAACGGGCTTGGTTGATTGTATTTTAGAAGTACCCATACTTGATACATTTTTAATACAGAGGTTTAAATGACTGATTGGAAATAGTAAAAGGACTTATTTGATCTTTTCCCCTTTTTATAACGTATAAAAATGAAAAGTTTATTTGGAGACATCCATGTAAAAAGTGAAAAGATATTTTAGGGATGGAGGGTACCATTTTCTTTTGGTGATGTTATATTCTACAAGTTACATTGTGTGGCTTCAATAAGCACGGTGTTTAACGTACGTAGGAACGTGACACCTTTAACTGAATGTGATGCACTATGAGGTTAATCTTTGAACTTTGATCAAAATATGTCCATATCGAATAAAAGCGGTGGGAATTTCATAAATATTCTGCCGAAGTGTGAAAGTGCAACAAGCAAATTTCATAGTACATCACCTGTGATTAAAAATGTTGTTCACTACACCAATCTCATACTACCTCCGTCTCTATTTAGTTAGCCAATTTTGACTTTTACGGTCAAATGTGGTAAACTTTGACCAATTATTTAACTAATATATTTATGAAAAAATTAATAATTTTATACTTTTATAATAGCATTTTCAACAAAAAATATTTTCATATAATTTTTATATTATTAATATTTTTTCTATATAGATATATAATTAGTCAAAGTTAGGAACCATTGACTTGAAAAATCAAGTTTGGATAAGTAAATTGGGACGGAAAGCATATAAACATGGCTCTAGTTTGATCCAAATGTATACATATATGATATTCTAAAGGCTTACTATTTACATTGCCCCGACTCTATAAAAAGTTAGGACCGAACCGGCCTGCTAGGCATGCATAAATAGAAGTATCTTCGATTATCTCTACAAAAAAATATAATGAACAAAATACCACGAGCCCGTTTGATAGCACGAAAATTGGTTGATTCGGCTGATTCTGCTGAAATATATGAAGTTCTGGCTAAAGTAGCTACATTGGCTGATTCAGATGATTTAAGAAAAAATTATTTTTAAAATATATTTTATTAATAAAATAAAGAAAATATTATATATAAAAATAGCTAAAATGGTCATCTACAATAACTTCAGCCAATATAGCCAGAAAAGTAACTCCAACCTTACTTTTTCTGCTTATTACACAATTCAGCACGCAAAAACAAAAGTTACGTGTTTGGTGAAAAAGTTGGCTGATAAGCCTGAAAAACCGAAAAACAATGTTCCCAAACGGCCTCTACATCCGCCCCAAAAAGGTTTAATTTGCTATGTTGACTTTTGTTGATCGATGGTGGGAACTTTGGACAATGATTTTAGTTATTATATTCATATTTAATTCGTAAATTAATACTATTAAAAAATATCATTGATCAAACTTGAATACATATGAACTAAATAAAACCTTTTTTGGAAAAGATGAAGTATGCACAATAAAGCTAAAACGTTAGCCAAGTTACTCTCAAGTAGACCTAGTTATACACTTATACTTTTACTATAAGGATGTTTTCACTTGGACTGTAATATATCTTAGACCAGACCAGACTAGACCAGATCAGACCACACCAAACTAGACCAGATCAGACCAGACCAGCAAATTACAGTTCAAGTAAAAACATCCTAACACTCCGCATCTCTTACTTGGTCCTAATAAAATACTCCGTACTCCCTCCGTACCGAAAAGGTTTGCCAAAATTGACTTTCACGTGGATTAATAAAGTAAAAACTGTGTGGTTGAAATTTGTGCAGAGGAGAGAGAATTAATTTTAGCCACATATTCCTTACTTTAAATGGAAATGACAAATCTTTTTTGGACATCTGAAAAAGGAAATTTGATCAACCTTTTTGGGACGGAGAAAGTAATTAATTAGAGGAATGATCGAA